TAAATACCATCGAAATTCGGATTCCAATGAACGACCTAAAGAAAGATCCACGCTTCATTTACATTGCCCAAACACATCCGAGTCTGGAGCCAACGGGACCACTATATGCATCTCCTCCTCCAAGAGACGGAAGTCGTTTTGTTGTAAAAATGCAAACTTCAGAGGGACTGGTGTTTGGCAAAATACCTCACCCACAGGGTTACGCCAGCGATGATTACGACCCTTACAAAGCGCAGATAACAATTTATGATCGCAGTCGGTTCCTTGATTTTAAAATACGAAATCAACCAGAGCTTTATCATTTAATTATGGGTTGCGGAATGATGGGTGCTTTTATGTATCTTGGCAAAAAGTTGTTTTGTTGGGCGGCGTTCAAAGATCCCAAAACCATCGAAATTTTTACTCATGAATTTCCCCCAGTTCAGAAGTGGTGAGAACTTTTATGTTTATCAATTTAGCTATGAAATGACCTAGACTGAGATATGAAAAAACTAATATATTGAACCGCGAATGATAGTATAAAAGTGAAGGTGAACCTCAAAGTTGAATGAACGACCTAAGCGTCAGATAAGTGGCTGACAAAGAACGTAGAAAGTCGGTTTTGGAATTAAAAATCCTGACCTTTCGAGCACCGGAGGCAATACTCCATCCTTAATTCAATATATCATGACCTCTATTTGTATATTCTAAGTCTTCCGGTAATACCCTTTGGGTATATTACGAACTCAAATTTGGCTTTCTCTGCAGTTGGCTTAATTAACTCAATGGATAGAGCTCAAATATACCCTCTTTATAGCTTGTAGGTTCCATTTTCCTAATTCAGATCACATGACGTTCGCAAGGAAATATTCATTAGTTTGCATTTATGTGCACGTAGAAAGCGCGACATTTGAAAGAAACAGTTTTCTGAGGTAACGTGACATGGTCTCCTGCATAAGCGGCAGTTTCCCCGAATGCAAATAGTGGTTGTTTTCCATTTACAGTTTCCTGAAAATCCGGCTGGAAAGTAAATGAAACACGATTTTTTGCGTTGTTTCGGCAGAAAATTTCCTGGAGCAACGGAACATTCGAAAGGGTAGTCTTGTTTTTCCGGAAGGAATATTCCAAAGTAACGGAAATTTTGGTTCCATTTCTTCAAAGCTATCTTTTGATACCAGTCTCAGACCTTCGCGGTTGAGGCCGTCTTGCGCCGTAATGTATAATCTTGGTTTGTTGAATGTCACTTGGTCAAGCGAATTGGTGACGAATTGACTTTACATTATTAAGTAAATTTGGCGTTTCTGAAAGAGGATTGACATATTTTACTTTGTTTGAAATGAAGTTATGAATAATTCAAAACTTAATTTGGGCCTCTGAAGGGGACATTTTCCCTCAATTTTCTATTGAAGTGCAATTGATAAAATGTCCTTTCTTGATGTCTTCTCTTAAACCCGTTACCATGGTAGCAAAATTTCTAGATGACAACAGATCAAAACGTCACTTAAAAAGTAGATTCGCACTGTTTCAAACGTCATCAATTTTATCTAAATTCATTTTATCTGTCAAAAGTGGCGAAATTTTCTGGATTGAAACCGAAAGGACAGTATCTAAATTTTAAAAAAAATTTTGTGTTGTGTTGACCTACTCGATAAAGTGGGCGAGTGAAATTAGGACGTTTCATGTCGCAGGCGTGCAACAACGGCTAAGAAATGTACAAAAAAGCATGATGCACGTGCAAAGTTGTTCTTTTGCCAATCTAAACCTGTTACTTTTTTGCTGTTACAAAGACTCCCTATTTTTGTGATCCAGAAATTTGCTACCATGGTAACGTGAAACTTCTCTCGTGAACGATCACGTGAATTACTGAAATTAAAGTGACTCTTTTCTTTGCAACTGTTATTTCGCTTTTTTTTAATATAAAACCGTTCTTATTTTCATTCATAGAGAGATAAAACTCAAAAGCATTCAAGCAAAACAAAACAAGAAACAAGGGAAAGGGGACGAATGGATAACAGATGGCTAAATTGTTTAATCATATGACATCGTTTTTTGTAAGTTACCCCCCTCCCCTGCACGTTAATTTTCCTAGACATACTGCTCAAGAAAATTAAGGTATGGGTCTGCTATTTAATTCCTCAAAAACAGTGGGGAGGAGGGCGGGGTCTAACTTCCTAAGCTTTCAATATACCACAAAATAACTTAAGGACAGACTTCCTGGGTAAAAGTTTAAAAACTTTGAATGATGATTGGAGTGAATAATTCTCACGTGGCCTATTAAGGCTATTTTTAGCACAAAACTCTATTTGGCAATATGGTACCATTTTAATTACTTTCTGGAGGTTGCAGTTATCGTCATAGTTATGAGACTAGTGGGTACATCATTTCTGTGTCTGGGCTTTTTAAGTTAATCTTTTAGACAGGAATGAAATTCGAAAATCGTTTGATGAGGGGACTGGCTACTAGTACAAAATTCCTTTTATTTGCACTTTCAATGAATTATTCAACAAAGCACAGGCACAGATGTTTAGTCGTTCATCTAGGGACATGGACATGTTTGGTTGCAATTTCTTTGATTGACTGCTATTTTATAATAATGCCATTTCTAATTTAAGATTTTTCGCTCAAAACGGCCCTTCAAGGTCACGTCACCTAATTTACATCTTTAAGAGGCTAATGGGAATGTGCCGCTAGATGGGGTCGCATTTTCACGACTGGATTGACTATAATGGTGTCGCATTTTCAATAGGGTTCAGTAGAATGGGGTCGCACATTTTCGGATTTTTGGGGGAAAGATAGTTCTTCATAGTTACTGTTATCGAACATACCAGAATGTTTGTACTGTAGATGAAAAGTGAAGTGTTCGTCATTCATTTTTTAAAAAATAGGTCAATTCATAAAAATAGAAAGTGACTGAGTTAGGATCGCGAAAATAACATATTTGCACAAAAGTGACAAAGATTGGGTCTATAACTGGTCACAGAATAGACTATAATGGGGTAGGGGCTATGAGACGCTAGCGGTACATACCCAGCAAAAATTAATCCAGGTTACCCGCTCGGGAAGGGGGGGGGGGAGCTACTACTGTAGCTACCACGCTTGGGGAATTTGCTATTAAATTAATTGGGTGAAATCCCTAGAAAGATGAATATGCTAATGATCTCTCAAATAGTGAATTCATAAAAGGTGGAATACCTGAAAACAGGGTTGCTTTCGGGCTTTAAAACGTTTGTGTGATAGTCACACCAAATATAGAATCGCTTAGGAAATGACGTGATTCTTAAAATAAGATCGGTCTTAACACGTTTCGGAGTGTACACTGGTGACTTAATATTGTTTCCGGCATCGTCTTCTATTTACCTTGAAATCCCGTGATTAGGTAAGTTCATAATTTACGTAGTGAACTGTGAGATATTTGGTTTATAAGTCGCATTTATTCAAAACCTTTTAAATTGGACTGACCGCGGCGCGAGGTTTGCGGATGTCGCAATTATTTACGTTTCGCGTTCGATATCGTTGCAAACAGTTGAACGAAAGCTCGGGTAAGCCGTCCTTTGTATAGCTTTGAAAAGCTGCCTCCTGATGAGTTACCTTATATTCTATAGTGTTATAAACGCTTCAATTTCAGATCGAGAAGTAAACGGACTAACAGACTCTGTTGATTGTGCTATTCACAGGACTCCATAGATCTATAAATTGGTTTTAACTCCCAGCGGACCCAATACTGTCTCTTGAACTTGTTTTGAGGGAGGGTTGTCAGAGGATGAGGTATCTATACTGGAACAAAGGAGCTACCAAAACGCAGATAATTCTTTTAAATAGACATGTTCTAAGAGGGGATATCTCTAAAGCAGGTCTCTCTAAAAAAGAAATCCTGTAAAGGGGTGAATCTATAAAATAAATATGATTGACATATTTGAAAGGTTGAAGGCCCACTGCTTTTAACCTTCGTGGGTCATGGTCATAAATTTCTCAGTTTTGTGTAATTTATTACGGGATTGCTTGGGGCTTCGATATAACTTCCTAACATCACTCGAGGAGATTTATATTCGGCAGTTCTCTTCCATACCTTCCGTGTTGTAAAAACATTTGCGACGTAACCAAGAGCTCACTCAACACCCCGTAACGCAAACTTTATCCTGTTTTTCCGAGAAAGGTCTCGGGGGAAGCTAGTGCTTTCCACGAAAGCAGGAATTCGGCGGACAGATGATAACCGGGCTGAAAAAAGACTACGCATATTAAAAAGACAAAGAAATTGTATATCGTATTAACGGGTATCCCATAGAAAAAAAAGATGGGAAGGTGGGAAAAAAAACCAACTGGAAATGATTTTCCGAGTCTGCTATGTTATTCTTCGTTTTCACTTTCACGCAATCAACACGGCACAAAAAAATAAATTGGAAACTGTCCAGTGGAAGGAGTCAAGAAAATGAAGTGTTTTAAAAGACTAATATTTTAACAATTTGTCCAAATCTCAGCTCTTTGTGGCCCACAGTTTCTGAGTTATTTGTCAAAACATTTCACGCACCTTTGTAGAACTTCGTATGGAGACGCTGTATATCGGTGGTGGACAATATGGCCGCCGGAAATCAACAAAAACATCTGGACTTCACTTTTTCTATAAAAGCTCTTCCTTTCACTCAAGAGCTAGCATAAGTGCGCATAAACACATCTTTTAATGCTTGAAATGGTTAAACTGCTGAAAATCAAGAGGAGAGAATTTTTCAAAGAGACAGCATTCCTATATATTTTGGTGTCACAAGCACTGTGAAAATTGCTGTATTTTCGAAACGAAACATGCTTCGGGGCTGGCAACTTGTACAAAGATTTATTTTCTATTTATCTTCAACGTAGTGTAAATAAGAATTCGTAAAAACCTCACTTTTTTTACTTTGCGATCTGATGATGTCACTGTGAAAACCATCAATTAAAGGAAAATTGATACTTTTTAATTCGCATTAAAGGTCTCTTTGAAGCGCTCTCATGACCTGATTGATCTTTTTATTTATATTACTTTCATTTGTAGGAAACTCACCATTTCAGACTGCTTTGAAGATATATTACTAAAGACATGGCTTCCCTAACAGGATCTCAAGAGCAGCGCCGATGGTTAGTGGTGGGTATTGCTCTTCACCATGTCCTCACTCCATGCCTCAGAGATAAGGTCAAAACCGAAATGACTTCATTTTACCAGTATTTGGTGCGAAACTTTGGAGTGGACAAACAAACGTACACATCTTTCATGAAGAATATTCCTCTGTCCACGGTGAAATTGAACTATGAAAGTATCAACAATAACCACAAAGCCACGGACCGTACCCACTACGACTACTGTGTAAGGGATGAAGTGTCTTTGGCCAAGCTGTTTATGAAACCCATCATGGCGCAGTTCAATGCATTTGACAGTTCCTTTGATTCTTCTGCTGCCCTTGCTGTTCTCTGCGGAGCATTGCCATTTGCGTCTGTTAATCCGATTGCTGAGGATGTGAGATCAAACGTTCGTAACGAGTGGGCCCATTGCGACTTCACAATTTGGACAGAAGTACAGTTCGACACCTGCTTTGACCTTATGGAGGCTCTGGCAACGAACTTGAGAATTCCTCCCTCTGACGAAGCACGAATTTTAGGTGAACTTAAATTATGGAGAACAAAAGGTACGATATAACTATAGCCCAGGGTATAAAATAACTAACAGAGTACAAGCGCTCTTAATTGGCGTGAGAGTATGTAAACACAGTTGTAACGTCAAGATGTTTTGCCGCCCGTGCACGCGTTATTAAATCACGCAAGCACGAAGGTTTCTCAGATGAAAACTCGACAAGTTCACTTTACTTACCTTATTTCCTCGTCGGTTGAAACTTGAGAAATCTTTAAAAAATATACCGTATCATTATTTTTCGCTTCTATTGATATTAAAGGCAGAGAATTCCGCATCTTGGAGAGCATCCTTATGCAAAACAGGAAATGATTACGCGTACAACAATCACTTTGCAACTTGTAAGATTTCCCTTTTTTAGTGCCACAAACAAAGAGTTCTGCTTTTTTTCTCGGGAAAGTTATTTTATAAAAGCGATAGAATTCTTTTTGACACTGAATGCACGGCAATGCATAGCCCGATTATGAACACTCGAGAGTTGGGAGAATTCTCGATACCGTAAATGACCTAATAAACGCCTGGGGCGTCTCAGTTTGATTGTGGGGTCCAAGCGGGGGCGTTTTATAGATCAATAAGAGGCAGCTTGGGGTGCGGCTTTTTAGGGGGTTCTTAAAAATAATTAGATGCAATTTTAAAGTAGACTTCACTCATCTACACCACCCTCCCCTCCTACGATTTTTACTTACACCACCTTACCACTTTTTAGTTTTCCTTACCCTCGCCGCCCACGATTTGTATTTGCACCCCCTTACCACATCTCACGTATAGATGAAACAGTATTTTATGAGAAAATAGACGCCTTAAAAACATCAAGCAAGGGAAAAGATAGTAAAACAACATTATTTATTTATGATGACTTTTACGATCAAGCCAAACTTTGGCTTGGGAAAAATTTAAGACAAAAATGGAAGAGTTTGTTCTAAAACGAGACCTCCTCAAAACATTGCCTGATGCACATTCGGCCATTGCTTACCGTGGAAGAGATAAGACTGAACATTACGTACGTGAACGTTACTCAGGAATTAACCAAGAGGTGACTGAATTATTTGCGTCTCTTTGCACTTTACGACAGTCTCAACGCAGTGTCACAAGCTATATGAAGAAACCTGTTGTTTGACCAATTGCAGCCGATGGTTTCCTTATGCATGTCGAAATTATTGACTTAACCGACTTTAGAAATTTGCCTTGTTCATGTTCCCCAAGTCATAACTGGGTACTTCACATCAACGACCATTACAGCAAATATTCTTGGCTCATCCCGCTAAGGTCCAAAACATGCCAGAAGGTTGTACAAGCGCTACAAAATGTATTTTTCATGTTTGGATTTCCAAAGATCTTGCATAGCGATAATGGAATGAGGAATTTACAGGCAAAAGAATGCGAGAATTCTGTAAGTCAAATTCCATATCACTAGTTCATGCTGCCCCTAGGACTCCCACAATGCAGGGGTTGGTAGAAGGAGGCAAACGTACTTTCAAAGAAAACATAAGTAACATTCTCAGAGAGAAAAAAGCTGAGCTCAACGGTTGGTGCTCTGTGCTTTGTGAAGCAGCATACAAGAAAAACATTGCCATACATGCTACAAGCAAAGAAATTTCATACGGTGCAGTTTTTGGGATAAAACCATGGAAGGAAACAAACAACAGTGATGTATCGACAGAGATTAATGAGACTAATAATGAAACAACAAGCATTGTTACGAGGAGTTCTGTACAGTACCGCAAATAATCCCCAACCGCAAATGATCCCAAAAGTGGATCGCAAATGATCGTCGACCGTAAATGATCCCCAACTTGGACCGCAAATGATCCCAAATGAAAAATAGAAATGGCTTGGATGTTGACCGTTCTTTCTGGGATAACATAACTACGGCTTACCTTGCTTTTTGGTTTCTCGTTACCAGGTTTAGATTGTTCGTAACTATCTTCGGCAACGCACAACTAATAAATATACATGTAAACTATTCGCGAAATATTAAGTTGCTATTTCGAAATAAACGGGAACCTGTGCAGATTGATAAATTCGGAGACATTTTGACGTTTATTTATTCTACTGCGCTTTTCACTAACACGCGAACACTCTAAAGTTCAAAAGCCGCCTTCAGAATTGCGTTTTTCGCCGTCGTCAATCATAATTGCGTTCACAAGTAACGAACCTTAAAAGCACACAAAAGCTATGCCTATCAAAGTCCACTAATCACAGATCACAAACCATGACCTTTTGAATCCGTTTAAGTAAAGTTATGTTTCCCAAGAGGTCCCCTAAGATGATTGACGGCAGCGAAAGACGCAAACATCAGTTGGCTTTTGAACTTCAGAGTTCGGGTGTTTTTGAAAAAGCGCGGTAAATCTGATATCTTGTTTCGTAAACTACACTGAAGTATACAAATGCCTTGCTGTTAATCACGTAGAATTAATACTTTAAAGAAAAATCAAAGTTTAATTTTCTGAAAAGTAATTCGGCACTTCCAAAAAGTCAATAAAGCTCTTGCTATGTAGAGGGCGACCAGGTTTCTATTCCTCAGTACACAAGTTGAGCCTCTAGGCGTTAAAATAATAGAGGTATTTATGAGTAACGCCCTGCCTGTCCTAAATTTTTACACGGGGAAGAAACGAAGCAATTGCCAAAGGAAGAAGTACGATTGACATCATATCCTTTTCAGATTTATTCCGTTTATTTAAATTTTTTTGCGCGTTGTATAAATTAACCTGTGATCTGGCGTCCTCCTTCCCTTCTCCTCTAGAGGGCGAGAAGGATCTAAAGGTTCCATTTCCCATCGCAAGTTAAGTTGCAAACAGCCCCATTCTTCATTCTTCATTTAATATCCAACCAAGATCCATTTCAGTCCTCAATTTTTCAAGGGATCATTTGCGGTGCTGTACTGTTCATCAAACCAGGAAAGGGCACAAGAAGATCAATCAGAGCAAAGAAAAAAATTAAAAACAGCGTAAATGAATATCAAGAGCATTATAAAACAAAAATGAAAAACGACAAGAAGAAAAACACCCTCTCTTAGAGTGGATGAGATAGTAGCGATAAAAATTGATAAAGTAGATAAGGCCTCCCCTCTTCACCCTAATGTCCTCATTACCAAAATTCTTCATGTTGAGTCACCAAGTGAATGAGTCACAAGTCAATGAAAGAACTTCGAATCTGTCAGATTTGCTGTCAATATCTGCTTAAATTACTTAAGTAATAACAGTACATAAATTATAGTGACAAACCTAACCCTAAGTATGTGCTAACCATTTCAAGTAAGTGCCTAATCAGTATTGTCAGTGCTTAGTGGCTACCACAAACATATCCATGTAATATGGCTTACTGCATAACTATATAACAGTATCTTATGAATAACATAGGTTAAAAAAATCAAATTAGGTTAAATCAAAATTAACCTGAAATTAAATTTGACCTGTAACATTTATAATTATCATCGCGATAAAAAGTATCGCGTATTAACTTGCCTCCATTCTTTTGTCACAGGACAGGACCTTTGTCTTGGTAAACCACTTGATGACACGCTACTAAAACTCATACGCAGGGAAGTTCAACAACTTTCAGACACCTTGGATACACATAAAGAACAAAATGATCGTATAGAAAGTACCCTGGGCCTTCTTAAAACTGAGCTCGATAAGGCCATCGATTCTCTCCAAGAAAAGCAAGCTGGCATGGAAATGACATGCAAAGAACTACTGCAAAGGCAAGAAATGATCGCAGACGAATTGGATACAAGCAATAAGGAAGTGGGGATGTGCCGGGAAATGACACAAAAAGTGCAAAACCTTTGCAAAAGCTTGGAAGTTAAAAGCGCCTTTATGCAACAAGAGTTGGATATCTTAACAACAACTGTGAATAGCACCCCACGTTCCGACGATTCCAGTGAGATAGTCTTTGATGCTCCAGAGAAAATCAAGTGGTTTACGGGAAGAGAAAAAGAATTTGAAAGCCTTGAAAGATGCCTTCCACTGAAAGAACACAACAAATTAAAGATGGCAGCCATTTGTGGTCTCGGGGGATGTGGAAAGAGCACTTTAGCTACTCACTTTGCGTGGAAACGTGAACAAGGATACGAAGGAGGTGTGTTTTGGATCTCCATGGAGGACGATAGAAAGTTTGAAAACTCTGTAAACGACTTGGCTTTTCGTTTAGGTATTGAGGCAAATTCATTCGATTTCACGCTGTCCAAACTGCTAACGAAGATTTCCAAGCAACAGAAATCATGGCTGATGGTCCTTGATGATGTCGACCAGCTACACCTCTCTGAAAATATGCACACGGTTCTGTCTGGTCGGTGGAAAAGACGTGCAGGCGGTGACATACTTCTAACAACAAGACGCGAACCAAAGGAAGTGTATGGGTCTGTGGATATTGACCCATCTTGCTGTATTGAGCTCTTTTCCTTCTCAGAAGAAGAGGCCAAGGAGTTCCTTTTAGTCCGATGTGGTTGTGCTGATACAGAAAATGAATTGGTGTTAGATGATATAGATGAGCTGATTCGCGAGCTAGGTTGTCTTCCTCTTGCTTTAGAACAAGCTGGTGCACATATCAAAGCTCTTCAGTGCTCTATCAAAGACTATCTTCAAGCGTACAGAATTCAGCGACTGCAGTTGCTAAGTCAACATCCGCGTGCAAAACCGTCTTGGGAGTACGAGTCTAAAAACCGACTCGCTGTGCACACCACGTGGCTTTTAAACTTTGAATATGTTAAAAAATCACCGCAAGGAGAATTGGCATCGATATTCTTAAAAGCCTCGGCCTTTTTTGCATCCAATGAAATCAACGAAGAGCTTGTCATCTGTGAAGTGCTCTCCACTGATCAAAGCTGTAACCTCCCCTTGGTGAAGAATCACATCATGGACATTTTGACCAAGTTTTCACTTTTCCAGCGGAAAAGTTGCCGATCCCTGAGATTACATCGTCTGGTTCAGGAAGTCATTCGCAACGAAATGTCTATTCAAGAAACTGTCACCTCGATGCTTACAGCGGTAAAACTGCTTTACCGGGCCTTTCGAGGTTGCCATTCGCCGGACGAGATCCCTTCTTACATCACATCAAGTGAGCTCGAACAACCTTCAGCGTTCATAACAAATAAATCTCTATTTTATTTGTGGTCGAAACTAGCCACACATGCTTCTGCGTTACAGCACCATTTAAAAACATTGCTGTATCAGCAAGACATCGACAGAGAAGTTAAGGCAGTCGTTTTAAGTTACGAAACTTCGCGCGTCATTTATGAAAATGCCGTCCACCTAAGTGTGCACGGACATCAAGTTGAGGCCAAGGAAGCCGAACGATTGGCATTTAGTATTTTCGATTCTTGTCCAAATGCTGAAGGCCCCATGTCTAAAGAAGATTTAACAAAACTATTTCCACTCGTTTTACCCCTTAATCAAATGATTAAAAAAACCGTGGTGTATTCATCTCGGCCTCCAATTGAGTGCGGAAAACACGCGGAAGACCCCAGTGAGCACAGTCGTGCAATAGACGATCTTCGTTTACAAGGGAACACGTTCTTCAAGCAAGGTCGTTTTAAAGAAGCCGTCGAAGCATACACAAGTGCCCTTGAAGTGTATGAGAAAGGAATGCGACCGGACCCACGTCTGCTCAATAATCGAGCAACTGCATATCTCAAGCTGAGTAATTATAAAAACTCTCTTCAAGATTCCGAAGACTATATTGAGTTTCTGCCTACCTGCTGGAAGGGATACACAAGGAAAGCCTTGGCTTTGAAAGGACTCGGACTGCGCGATTATGCTTCAAGCACTGCAGCCATTGCATACAACTATAATGTAACTTGCTGTCGTCGTTACGAACCATTTGCAAATGTGTTTAAAGCCTTGGACGGTAGATGGGAAGTTGTTGCCTCCTCTGAGAGCCTTCAACGCTCTATGGAACGTACCGGAAAAGAATTTTCGGAAAGGAAAATTATCCTTCTTCGAAATGGACAGTATGATTTACACGACACCGCTGATATTATAGAAATCGCATTGGTGGCTCTGGAAAATAGGTCAGATGTCACCATAAACTGCAATAATCCTTTATTGCGCAAGAAGTGTTTTTTCCATAAGATTGCCTTTACAGCAAATCTCAGTATTTGTGTTGCCCCAGATGCTCATGTGGAATTCCATAAATGCATTTTTCGGAATCGTACATCAGATGTAATGGTGGTCTACATTGATCGTGCATCAGCAAAGTTCATAGAGTGCACAGTCAAGGACAGCAAGGGTAGTGGAATAGCCGTTAATGGACAAAACTCATCAGCTTCCCTGACTAAATGTGAAATAAGTGGGCATGGAAGCGCAGACAACGCCTTTGCTTACGGAATAAGGGTGTTTAACCAAGGGAGTTTGTTGGTTTCCGATAGCCGCATCTACGGCAATGTCAGGGGAATTTGGGTTGATGAAGCTCGAGTTGGTATTCCAGCAAAGACTGTAATAATAACAGATTGTGAAATCTATGATAATAAATACGAAGGCGTTGTTGCAGGTGGATGTAAGTGGGTTTCTCATGATTTCGCCGTCGTTATCATGCGAAGGAACAAGATTTATCACAATGGCACCATTGGCATCCGCGTGACATTTAATATTAATAACATTCTGGTCGAAAACAACAAAGTGTTCGAAAACCTTTGGTGGGGAGTTTGTGTCCACAACAACTCCGGTGGTGTGTACAAAAGCAATGAGATTTGCAACAACAAAATGGGTGGAATAAGATTTGGTTACCAAGCTCCAGGAAAGCCACCTTGTGTAGTAATAAACAACTATATCCACGACAATTGCGGACCAGCCTTATATGAAGGACTTCGTTACTCTGAAAACTACAGTTTTTCCGACGAATTACGAGAATGTTTCTTGAGAGGAGTGTTTTCAGAGGGAAATGTGTCTTTTCCAAATATGGTATTGGCAGAGGTTAGTTCTAACCACTGTGTCCAAAATGACAATGGACAAAAAAGTTTCAAGCCAGCTGCAGTGATGACGCATTGTGTCTTTTGCTTTCGACGCGACTTGAAATTGAAACCTTGTAAACGTTGCATGACAGCAACGTATTGTGGCAAAAATTGCCAAAAACTACACTGGCAAAAGCATCAGTATACCTGCAAAGCTACTGGACAAAGGAACACTATAGAGGTGAAGGTTGCTGAGGCTTTTCCTAATGATGGTTCTTATCACGTAGCTTTTAACAAGAGCCACTCGAGTCTGGCCCCTAGTGGTCCAGATTACCATCCTCCTCCACCTAAGGATGGAAGTCGCTTTGTTGTGAAAATCCAAACCTCTGAGACGGATGAGTTCGGCGGACTTGTTACAGACTCGAGAGGGCTTCTGAGTGATGAACAGGATCCTAATAAAGCTCGGATGTTGCTTTATGATCGCAGCCACCATGTCCATTTTCGGGTTAGCTGTAAACCACAACTTTTTCATTTAATAATGGAGTGCGGAATGATGGGGAAGAGAATGACTTTCACGAAGAAATTGTACTGTTGGGCAGCATTTCAAGATGCTAAAACGCTTCGAATTTTTACCCACGAATTTCCAGAAGTCCAGGAATGGTAATTAGGACCACAAATGGATAAAACTCTTGCTAGTAGATGACAGCATGTTCGAACCGAACTATCAAGAATTTGGAGAACATTTTTAAAATTGCCTTCATGAATTTTTCTGAAGACAGGAAACATTTCAAAATGTTTATTTGACCGGGCTACTTCCAATTCACCTTTTTATTGGCTTCACTGGGCTAAGAGGAAGTGAAATAGTTAAATGTGGGTTACCTCAAGGATCTGTTTCAGGACTCTAACTCTCTCTTATCTTTATGAGTCACGTAAGTCAGAGCAATATTTTAATTTTCATTCTTTTTGCGGACGAAACAAGTTTATTTTTTAGCCATAAGAATATACATACTCATATAATACCACAAATCAAGAACTAAATGATATTGCAGTGTGTCTTTCTGCTAACAAACTCTCATCAGATAAAAAGAAAACTCACTACATAGCTTTCAAAACAAAGAAGAAAAAGTTTATTGAATAATCATAATTGATGGAAAAGAAATTGGAAATGTAAAATACACTGAAAATTGTTAGGAAGAATTAATTATTGACGATGAAAGTACGTGGAATTACCATATCTATCGGGTGTCATCTAAAACATTCCAATTGACAGGAATGATTGCTAAAGCAAGGCATTACGTATTTCTCAAAAGTCTTATTATAATCTATAATACGATATATCCATGATAGCAATTATTGAATGACGCTGAGTAGGATGTGAAGAATTATGCAGACCGAGGAGGATGTTATCTACCGCGGCTGAAGGCCGAAATATGCATAATTCTTCACATCAAACGAAAGCCGGATTTAATAACTGTTTTATTATTAATTCAAGAGCTTAACAAGCTTACCTTCTCGTGGATGAAACATTGACCTTTTTCTCGGCGCGATTTCTGGATAAGACGTTTTCCCTTGCAGATACTCCTAAAAAAGTACACAACATCATTCGAGCTATATATTTTGCGTATTCTTGCATTTTTTCAGTTCAGTTAATTGGAAAGCGAACGCCATTTTCTTTATAACTAAATTTTTCACTCACGATTGAACAGCTAGGCTGCCGCGCCTGGAAGCGTGGTTGATCGATGGCATTTCATAATTTATACCATCGAGTCAAAGGTATAAAGTTCGCATCTTCCAAATTTGGTAAGCGCCATTTGGTTATGAAGAATTATTAGCCGGGGAATTGGAGCCAATTGGGAAGGGCGAAATATTTTGAATGAATAATAAATTGTTATGTTACATAGACCAGTCTACATATCCTACTAGGTTTCAACCTATTTATTTCATACAAAAGAAGATAGAAAGAATTATTAATTCAGGGCAGAATCGAAAATAACTTTTTAATTGCTGAAGTTAATGAATATTTATGAACTTTATGATTACATAACTAATGCTACATACAAACGGACGCAACAACTCCCAACATTGTTGCGTCCATGTTGGCAGTGGTGTGCAAATGTATGCGATAACTCCCAACATTGTTGGGACATACAGAGCATCGTGGAAAGGATACAACCCATAAGTCTTTGTAAACCATGCGTAATGAGCTTGCGTTGCCCCAACAATGTTGGAAGAGCTGTGCAAACGTGTCCAACATTGTTGCGCTACGCTTCGGCGATCACGGAATGAAAGAAATGTTGGGAGTTGTTGGCTGAAAAGTTTGACCGGTTTCAAACTTTGCGCAACAACACGCAACAACATCCAACAACATGTAACAGGGTGTGCAAACGGATGCAACATGTAACATCTAACGATGTTGGGAGTTGTTGGTAAACAATGTTGCGTCCGTTTGCACGCAGCCTTACAGCTTTTTCATGTTTTCATGTTTCAATGATAAATTATCCAAAATATTTTATGACTACTTCACAAATAATGAACGTTCACATAATTGCAATACACGATCAGCATCTAAAATACACATAAATTATCCAATAACAAATTATGGAAAATTCTCTAACAAATGCAGAGGAGCACAACTATTGAACAGTCTACCAAAAATCTAAGAAATAAGTAATGGTAACGGGACTGATTGGCAAATGGACAATGGCATTTTTAACAGTCCAGTCCTGGCATGCTCTCTAATCCTGATACACACACAGGGGGCCCAGAACTAGGATTTTGCCGCTGTTTTGCAGATGGACTTAACCCAGAGTTTAGTTCCATCTGTGGCACAGGCTAATATCAAGGGTGTTGGTTTAGTATTACATTAGCAGAGACAAAATCTGAGTTAGAAGCAACCAAAAGGGTAAATTTTCTCTTGGTCTTTAAATGCATTATTTCATAATATAAGGGACAAAAAATCAATGGTTCCTGCATTTCTTTTTCCAAAAAATAAAACCATAAAAGTAGAGTATTTCAATACATCTCTGTAACATACTGTGAGCTGGTTTGTAGCAAAAACTTTATATTGAAGTGTCTTTTTTTCATAATTTGACAACAAACATTTAAGTAATTAATTTAAAACATCTAAAATCACTTATCGATATCGCACATTATGGAAATGACGATCCCCATTGTATGTCTTGGCAGTTGCTCTGCCAATGTTTGTCCCCACACGCTTGGCTAAGAGGATGTTTTTCCAATTGAATTCAAAACAAAAAGTTTGTAGTTCTCGCCGTATATATATTGCTCCTTTCCTGTCTCAGTCAAACAAAACACTTCCAAATACTTGCTTCGCTAGTGAACCGTACTCTCTTATCCATGGTCTCTCTGGAAACTTTCCAGTCGGGTTGATTTCATGAGTGCATTTATGCACCAGCAGAAACGTAAACAACTAAGCTTAGCTTCAACCAACCTCTCTCGGTCTGTTCCACGCGGCAGCGTTTACGCTCTCAGCACAAAAGGAAGCATTATGCGTCATGTTTAAACCGATGGCAGTACCAAGTGTAAACGTTTCCATTATTATGTCAGAAATTTCCATTTAAAAGGAGATCTTTATACGAAAACGCGAGGTACAACATTCTATCCGCCATTTTGCTTCTCCCAGAATTCCACTGCAGTCGCAAGCTAATTTCCATGGTTTCTCGGTCCCGCCCTCTCCCCGCCTCCAGACCAGTTAGTCACGTGATCAAAACACACTACTTTCTGGGCGGCCATAACGTAGAGGAAAGAACAGTATTATTTCGCTTTTCTACGTTCTTCATCAATAATGATCGATTACATCAAATCGTTTGGCAGGGAGCAATCACGACAACATAAACAAAGAGCAGTATTACGCACCTTCGATGTACAAAGCTTGAATTTCTGTCTGGAAGGGAAGACCTAAAGAGACGACTGTACAAGCTAAGCTAAGTGTTCAAGTTTATAAGAGTGATTGTGTTTCTGTCAATGATAGATGGATATAATTCGACGGTAAATACAGATCAGAGGTTGTGTGCCGGAGAAAAAACTTATCATTAGTTGCTCTTAAAATCTGGGTCGGTAATTTACATGGACACTTTTTTCGATTGACCTTTAGACTTGTATTAACTACCAGAAAATTTAGATTAATGTTGTGGCGGCAATAATTGTTTTTTTCTCTCCCTTCAACCTACCTGTATTGATCTTAGTTACTTGAAATGTCTTTCAATGTTGGACTCTCACAAAGCAGTAGAAAAGAGTTTTAACTATATTTTGTTCAGGGTGCAAAGAAAGTCGGCTTTACAGCTTGCCTAGCATACACTAGCCTGAAAGCCATTTTGACTAACCCCAATTTTTTTTATGAATGGGACTGATTACAGTTCTTCTGTAATCTGAATTCCCTAAAAAACTTTACTTGCCAGCCAGGCAAGTTAAAAACGCAGTTCACTAGCCCAATCATAAAATCCAGTACCCCAGGGCTATTGCCTGGACACTACTCTGTCTACTCTCTTTGCACACTGTTTAATGTAGTTTAGCTAGAACTTGAACCTTTGAATGCCTTTTTAAACAATATTTTTACTGAGAAATATGAGACAAACCTCCCGGATGAAATTAATAAAATACCTGTACAAGTGACTGGATAAAGTTGTGTACTATATGTTGTCATTTTTGCATAAACAATACAGGAATGATTATTCTTGTATTGCTTACGACTAATTATTACGTGTAGTAAATTGTGTAAAGTAATTAAATGTATAAATTAGAGGGCTGGAGAAGAAATTAATGGGTCTTAAGTCACCGTGGGAGTTTTTTTGTGGGGGGTGGGGTGGGTCTGTGGCTAATATTATTGAACACGGGTTATTATACACTTTATGAGAAATCATGCATTCTGGAAATAGAAAACTAAAAAAGTAATAACTACAAGACAATTTGAACCTCGTTAAGATTTGAATGATTTAGTGACTTAAGGAAACTAAAGGCGACTTTAGGCAACTTAAGGCGATTTTAGGCGACTTAAGGCGATTTTAGGCGACTTTAGGCGACTTAAGGCGACTTTGGGCGACTTTGGGCGACTTTAGGTCCCAGAGTAGGCCTGGACTGAGTGGAGTCCAATTCGGTCTGTAATCATACGAGTGATTAACAAAATCGGACGACCGCGAAGCAGGATTCCGATTTGTTTAATCACGAGTATGATTACAGACCGAATTGGACGACACGAAGTTCTGTTACCAATTAATCATAACTTTAACAAAATTTTTGATATAATAGGCTATTTTTTAAATCAAAACAAAAGAAATTCGAAATTTTGTTTTGCTAGCAGTCAGAAAAAAAAGCCATTTAAGCGCGCGCGTGATGGCGCGTACTGTCCAATTACTTAGGCATGACGCGTACTTTCCTATTTATCTGTCCAATTAAGGCTGAAATCAGGGCAGTTGATAGCCAATTAGATTTGACAATTTTGTTATAGTTATGATTAAAGATCTTATGGTTCATTTTAATACCCGTTCAAGATACTATACAACATTATTCACATTTGTAATAGGACTTCATTATTGCAATATTTCAGAATGAAAAATATAGAATTTTAATTAGTAGCAAACTTAAATCGGGTCTCTTCTTTGAAAAACTAAGAAGAACTTGCTAAGATATCCTGAAACTAAATTTACTCACTAGGGTATTGTTACAAATGATGGGCGATGTAATGGTTGCAAGGCTTATGAACGTCCGAGTTCGCGTGTAAGCGAGGCAACTCCTAAATCGGCAGCCTTACAGAAAGCCCCTACGCTCGGCATATCCACAAAATTTCTCTCTTCAGTCTAAAGCGAAGTTATCACATATTCGATTGTTGTATTTAGTTACTCTTTCCCTTTAATTTGGCAAGGTTTCATGGAATGTATCTGAGGACTAACTTAATGTATCTATCACCTTAGTGGGTACGTAGAATAAAATTATTATGACAGAAGATTGATACTCCAGTTGTTTTGGTTGTAAATTGTATACCTAAATATACTCTCTAAATAAGATAGAAAGCACATTAAGAAAGATTAAGGTAAGCATAGTTTTTGAAATGATTGACTTTCAATGGGGTTTTAATGCTATTTTCATGGTACCATTTAGCCATTAATTTAACCCATGAAAATGTTAGAGGACAAGGCACAAAATACATTTCATGGGCCAGAAAAATGTGGTGAAAAGGTCAGAAAAGTACTCTGAGATCTTCATGGCCCATTAAAAATTCCCCGTTAAGGGGATAATCATGAACCACGGATTTTCCATCCCATTAAATTGCCATGAATTTGTACACCATGAAAATCAAAAAATTGTTGTACAGGGCGTTCTATGACAAGATAAACAAAACATGGCTGGACCACCTTTTCTCCCTGTTGTTTGAGAAAGCTCTAAGAAAGCCTCCCGGTGCAGCAGATAAAGATGGCCAAAATGTTACTTTACCAGATATTTTTCCTCGTGTCCAGTGGCTGAATCTACCTTTAACTACAGAGGTAAGCTTGTGGCTGAGCACCCAGTAACTAAATGAAAGCATGTTGTTCAATTACCCAAAAACATTTTTGTGACAGTCTGTCCTCGTGAATAAGCAGTGGAAGAGAATGGTTCTTGAATTCATATTGAGTGTTTGATTGTTTTTTGTTTTTTTTTTTATCGATATAGAGTATGTATCATTCTGACAGACAGGGCTTTGCTCTAGCATTGCTCAAGGCCCCTGGCACCTTATTTTTGATCTTGGGCAGCTAGGAATTCTTAGTTTTTGTATAGAAATCATATGCTGGACACTATGTATTTCTCCCTAGAATGTTTCTCAGAGCACAGCGTTCTTTAATAATGCAGTCAGTTCATAGCAGTCCTTTTAATACATTTTGTTTGTATGCTGTATTTACATAATAGGTGGATGTTCATTGCTGCCTCAGTGAATTGGAAGCAGCTGATTATGGAGAATTTGTAAGCTGGTTTTATCCCTTTAAGTGACTTCTTTAAGTTTTCCATCCTATAAAAAAAACCTAAACAATTCTAAGGTGTAAACCTCAACCCAAGTGATTGCTCCAATGAGAACAACAAGAACGAGTTAAAGTCAACTTACATTTGAGGGTTTCTGTAGTTTGTCTTTACTACTACATTTTTTTCTTTCTTTTCCCTTCAGGCAGATGACTATTTTCAAATCAGAAGATTGTATACAATTTTAGGATCTAGCATATTTTATAAGGTATGGACTAATGATTTTTGTCAGGCATTCTGTGAATCTGTTTCTTTTGCCTATATAAAACTCTTATGCATTTTGAATTTATAGTAGAATGTAACAACACTGAGTGGGGCACTTGAGCTTGTGAATGTCGGCAGCAAAAATTTGTCCTCATGATACAAGAAATTATGCACAACTGATCTCCTAAATAAATTATTTGAGCTGGTTTCCATCATTAAAATCAACTAAAAGCATTATCGTTTAAATTTATTTTTTATAAATTTGCCATTACTACTTTGCAGGGATATTTAGTTGCTAATCATTTACCAAGAGAAGATTTAGAAGATGTTGTATTATATTGTAAATATCACTGTTTACTGGCCATGAGTGCAGAGCAGCGTGTTGGACAACTTGTCATTTGGAGGGAGGTAGGTTTTTTTCTATGTCATTTTCATTTTTATTGATTTATTTATAGAATTTTTTTTTTGTATTCTGCATCTTTGCTCAGTTAAGCCAAATTACCAGCTTTTTAAATTTATTGTTACTGAAGTCTCTGTTATTGATTTTCAGGGCAGTCCAACCCTATTAAGTGGTTCCTTTTATAGTCACCCCATTGTATGGTCTTGTCAGATTTTGTTAGTCACTGTAAACAGAGGGGAAAGGGAGGGTGGTGGTTTACAGGGGGAGTTTTCAGGCTAAGAGATAACATGTGGGAACATTTCCAAGAGCACTGAAAATTTACAGGTGGTGTCTTGGTGAAATACCCGCTATCAAAGAGTGCCTTTATAAGAATTTTTTCTACTGCTACCTGTTTTGTCGTGTTTTTCACTTTGGTGCTCGTGACAATGTCTGCGTCAGAGTCAGCGGTCTGGTGCCTACTGATTTTGAGATTTACTGAAGCATCTCTCAACCCCAATCCTGAGCAGACCTGCCCAAGTGTACATAAATAAGTGTATAGAAGAATTGGTTTGTTGATTATTTATTTCCATTCTTATTGCGGTAACAAAGTTAAATACAGGAGAAACCACATTAATTTTGATAGATTAGTATTATTCCTGAATAAACTATTACATTTTTTTGTTTAGAAACATTGGCTTATGTGTGTCCTATTAGAGGCGGGAGGTATCTCAAAACGGTAAGCATACTGAGGAAGTTACATGTATTGAATGGCAAGTAACTTTACTACATGTATCATAAATTTGTCTTTAGTGTTTTAGAGACAAATATTTTATGCATTTTGAGAGAGCCTTGTCCAGAGGCACTTGGTCATTAGACCGTTACATGTATATTTTATTCAATTTTTACACATTTCACCTTACGCCAATTTTGTATATATTTATAGCGCCATGTGGAATATTTTCTCATCCCTGTTGATTGCCGTTGATCGGCAAAAGCTTGGATTTTTATTTTTTAAAACGGACAGTAGTTTAAGGCCTCATACGAACATTTTAGTTTTTTTTATTTTATTTTGTCTTTAGTGTTTTAATACACTTGACTTCGTGTACTTTCACCGCTATAACTCTGTCGCATTGTAAATAAGTTATGGTGAAATTTACATGCATTTCATTCCTTTTGTTGATTCTATATTATGTTATATTTATATTTATATATGCATTATTTGTCTTCAAATAAAATTTTATGCGACAATTTAGCCTTACGTAGTTTATGAATACAGTAATGTGGAAAGAGGCTAGGAACATGGAATCGAGGGTACTGATTTGAATTTTGAATTCAAGATGGCGTCTTTAGGTAATGTAGTATTTATTGATCGTCGTATAATGGATGTCGCGTTGTTGATCTCGTTGACACACAAAAATGTTTCCTCAGCCCTCGTCCTCCCCATTCCTGCCTCTTCCTTGTTCTATGGTTTTTATTTTTCAGGCGGTTAAATTGCCCTCACCTTCGCCGGCAATACATGTTTAATGAATGTTTCAGTTGTATTTGTATTGGATTTTCAGAGTTTAATAAACCGTCGATGTGCAGAATTTCACATTGCCATTTTTTCTCCATCATGTTGTTTGTATTGCCTTTTCGAACAGAGCACAGCACGTATTTCATTCTGAGTAAGGTTTGCCATTTGTGGGTAGATTGAAGCATAAATTTATTTATTTATTATGAAGGGCTGAGGGACACCCTCCACCGAATACTTACTATGTGGATCAAGTCAAAAACACTTTGCATCAAATTGAATCCATGGACATTCCTTCTGTTTGTGAAGCAAGGTACAGTGCATGATTAAACGTAGAAACAGTTTTTACGTTTTATGTACAGAATTTACAGTGATAAGAACACTAGGTTTTATTGTCAGAGCAGATATTTTCAGTTAAGTTGTTTATGTCGAAAACGTTCGCGAAGCCTCGAATAGAAATATCTTTCATCCAACTCGTGGTCGTGCTTGCTGTTTAAGTTAGTAACAGACTTAAGCTAATTTTAATTAATTAAAAATTTAATTTGCAAAACCGAACATTTCAAAAAGATTTTCACAGCGATGTGCCTTCAAGCACACGGCTTTCAAATCGTGATCAAACTAGCTGAATATTAGTACTGTATGCTCATTTGCATCTTTTCCCGTTTTTGTATTCTTGTATATTTTATCTGTTTTATAGTGTAAAAATTTTACAAGGTTCATTCATGCCCTATACTATACACCAGTCTTACAATGCCTTTGAGTGGTATACCGTGAAATATCGTGCGTATGGTAACCCAAGAAAACTGCATTTAAGGAGTTTAATACAACCACGGAATCATAATTTAACTCGGATTTACAGCCCTCTGCCCGTTTCCTCATTCGCGGCATGGAGTGCTAACCTTAGGATTTGACGGAACATGTACTAGGAATACTTGCTATACCTTCGCAAGTTATTCGTTACCTATTGCTTTGTTGTACATATACTACTATTTTTCTTCAGTTTACGGAGCCCTCGCAATCCTCCGCTGGCCTCAGCTGACGCCCTGCTTATAAGTCCCCCAACGACAATGCTACAGAAGTCGTCTTCAAGCTTTGGTGGCTCCGACACTCCCATCTCACAGAAAAAGCACGGCAGTTTAGATAACTTGAGACTACAAGGTACTTGTACTCTTCTTTAGTGACGTTCGCTAAACAGTCAGAAGTTTGTCAGTCAACTAATCCGCTTGGGCATTAGGAAGTCATTTACATGCTGTCAGTAAGTCAATAGGTTTGTTTGAATTTTGCGCAATGCAGCAGTCAGTTAGCCTTTCAAATTGTTTTCCAGTCCAGCCAATGTTATCCAGTCCCTTAGCCAGGTAGCCATTAAGCTAGTTATTGAGTCGGTAAGTTAGCTAATCACTCTGCAAAACAATCACTCAATCAGTCAGTCACAGAAGTATAACACTCACATCAGTAGGTCGGTCCAGTTAAAAGGGTTAATTGTTCACCTTATTTAAAAAGATTTGAGAGCATCCGTTTCAGTTGATAGCTCTTCGCCAATCAATCGATCATTCCGTTTGCAACCACCCATTCAGTCAACAGTAATTCATTCAGTCAGTCACTCAATCGATTAATCAGTTAGGCAGATAATTGAAAGTCCAACCAGAGACTCATTTGTGGTTATTTAAAGCAGAGTGTTACACGAAAACAAATAAGCTCCTTGTCTTCTCGCACCATCGCTTTTCAGATGAAGTAGATTCCAATGATAGTGGGAGTATACCCTTGGTTCATCGCCGCACAGGATCCGATAGTTCTGGAAGTCTGTGCAGGTTCGGAGCCAAAGGTAAACTGAGATCGCTGCGGTCCCAGTTCTCTCTCAACTCTGCAGGAACGTTCAGAAAGAGTTTGCCTGAAAATATGCCGGACTCGTCTCAAGTGGTCACAGGAAAGTAAGTATAACATCAAAGTGAGCATGTTAAGGACCTTGAGGCCGATGAAAACGTCGCTGAAAAATTGACTTCAAACTTTTTCGCTATTATTCCATGTCATCCAGGTACTTGAAAGTAGAGAAATTTATAAAGTTGGAACTGAGAAGAGCCGAGAGGGGACCGTATCCGAGTACAGAGACAGTAACATTTATCGCCTTTGTCGTTACTTTTTTCAAGTCAACGAAGTTAGTTTTCGTTAGTTGGGCGAAGTTAGTTTTTATGATGAATGTGCAGAGCTTTTGTTTTGCTTACTGAGACTCCTTTTTCCACGGGCCTCGACAAACTTTTAAACGGACAAAAACTTGCACTGATCTACATTTCGTTTACACTGGACCTGCGAGACCTTGCCATGAGTTTTTGAACGGCAAACAGTACTGCAATCTGTAGCAGAATTTGCACGGTTCCGTGTAAACGGTTTGCATGGGAAAAAAATTGTCCATTGAAACATTTTACTGGAGCAGTGTTAACGCGATCTAAACCAATTGTGTTTAAGACGTTCCCGCTGCCATCGCCATCGTAGACGGCGGCGACGGCAACGGCAACGGCGACGAGAACGTCAAAAAGCAATTTTTGTGCGTGCGGCACGCTTTTTTGTACATTTCCTTACCGTCTCAGCACGACTACGACGTGAAAATGCCTCTTTTCACGTTTTACAGAGGAACTGCGCAAGCGCCGACGAAGTTTGCCCTCTCTTTCTGAACTTGGATATGGTTCTTAGGATTTCAACTTTTGGAGGGTTCACCTACATTTGACAAAGTTAGTGACTTGGAGTAATCGTGATGAAGATTGAAGGAACGCGAATTCACTTTTTCAGCGACGCTGTCGCTGCCGTCGCTGTCCTCAGATCTTAAGGTCCCTACTGAGATCCCCAATAAATAGTTCTTCCTTCAATTGATAGCTTGGCTGATTTCTGTTCTGACATTTCACCCACAATAGTACTTGAAACAGCAAAATAGTATTCATCTACGCCCGTCCTCAGTTTGTGTGAGTTTAGGTTGTGGTTTTGTTGCGGTCCACGTTTATCCGTGACTTTTTGGTGTAATATTTTTGCTTCAATAATTATTATAATTTAACAACAAACACACGACCATAGTTGACTGTGTTTTCTGTCATGCTAGGTTGACTGGTGGTATAGATAACACCTTGTTTCGTTATGTGAGCTGGGATTCATTTCATGGCATTGTAGTCTGTCCAAATGATAGCGATGCTCCCACAACGGGAGGACTGGTACATGCAGAGGTGGTGAACACGTTCCAGAAAACCTGTCTCTCCATGCGTAGATTATTTTCTCCTTATTACAAGCAGGTACGTCGAAAAACCATGTTACAATAACTGAACAATTTCTCGTTCGCTGATTTGTAGAGAGTTGGAAATGACCTCATGGTGACGGAATTTGTTTTTTTCTCTCTTAATGCGTCAGTGTATCTTATACGAGGTGTTAATAGAGGAGACTGCTACGGCTAGTACTGTTGATTTTGATTGTAATAACAGTAATGCGTATTATTTTGCACAAATATGCGAAAACTGGAGCCAAATTCAAGCAATTATTGTAATATCATTTTCCCTTCAACAGCGCTTAAAGCAGAAAAATCCCAACGCACGTTTTGCATGTACCGGAGTGGAGGGTGTGGTCGAACATGGAGTGATGTTCCACCGAATTCCAGACAACGCAACTGAACAGAAGAAGTCTCCATCAACCTTCCAGTATTGGGTTATCGGGTACGTTTAGAAAGAATTCGAACTTGTTACGAGGAAATAGGCAAGCTCTAGTGTCATGCTACAGGAGGGAGCAGTAAGAGGTTGCCTTTTAGTTTACTTTCTTCGTATTTCTTTTAATTGCTATTTCTTTTTTTCTCTTCTTCTTCTTCTTGTCGTTATTGCATATATTTGACGTGTGAAAGAGCCGTCTGTTGCGGCAAGCTGACCAACAGGCTATTTCCGGGTTCCCCAAGCCTCTGTTTTTAAGAGAGGCTAACTGCGAAGCCATTGATACGAAAATGAGTTTTTATTCTCATCCATAAAAACTCATTTTCCTTAGAAGGGTTTTGCACTTAGCCTCCTTTTGCAAGTGAGAGATTTTGGAACCCGGAAATGGCCTATTGGAGTGCGTTATTTATAATAATTTCTCGGAGGGCAGGGAAACTGCGCTTGAAAGAATATACCCACACGTAAGTCAAATGTGAGTGATATTAAAATTTAATTCATAATACTTTCTTCTGTTGAACCTAGACGGCTTCTAACGGGAGATCATCCGCGTGAACTGTACGTGTGTTACCACCAGTCAGTGCCTCAATCTGTGGTGGAGTTGGCCTTCAAACTGGGTTTTGGAGTTTGACGCCGGATAATATCGTCATGAACCTCCGCCTCCGATGTAGCCAGCGAACTTCCTCATGTCTAAAGCTTCCGGCTGCAGTAGTGCAGTATGCCGATATGTGGGTAAAGAATTTCCGTCGATAACAGATGCACTTCACAAAATTTTGAGGTGGAAGTACTGCAGCTGTTAGAATTGTTATTTGGAAGCAAGCTTCACCGTGAACCCATCACTTTCAGAAATGGAAAAGAGCGTTCCTGTTGTTTGAAACGTTGCGAAGAAAATATAATAATGAATTAATTTTTATTCCCACACTTGGTGTTTTCAAAAGGCCAAAAACAAAATTTATAAGGCAAATCATTTTGTACATTTAGTTAAAAATTGTAAGGTTTTCAAAATAGTGGTTCCACAAACAGCTGTCGAGCGTAAAAATTATTAAGGCTAAAAAACGAGACATTCCTCACCCAAGATCCAGTGAAGTAAGTTTCTATGACTTTGGAATAATAAGTGTTCATTTTCTAAGTCTGACATCTTTCAGAAAGATAAATTCATATGTCATAAACGAATGGGATCGGCACCCTTGGGTAAAGCAATCTGACAGTACTGTCTCTTTCTCTGTACTCAACGGAAACGTTTATTATCGTTAATATTTATGTAAGTCCAGTTTTCATTGGCTAACGGTATGGCTTGTTGCCGCGTAAAGCACAAAAACAAATGAATGTTATATGGAACAGTATATAGTTGTTGTTATTATATTTTTTCAATAAATTGTTCATGAAATACTAAAGATGCAATCAGTGGTTTTTTTCTCACGTGATATTGTTAGTTCAGTGAGGATTAACCGAATGTTTGGCATGCTATTCGCCACTGTACAAACGAGAAGGGAACTGGAGCCGAAATGCGTCCCGCAATTGTTTCTGGGATCTTTACTGGAGACGCGTCAGTCCGCTATTGGCCAATTTTTTTCCCCCTGGTAACAGTCCCAAAAGTCTTTGCGAAAGTTAACTTGGCCTAATTTCCTTCTCGTTTCTGTATGGCTTACTTCGTGCCTAGTCACTGTACGGCGTCTGCCCAGTCCCTCTCGGTCAATGCATTTTGATGACGTATCCGAGACGAACTCACAAACTAGCTAGGACTTAAAGCTAGGACTACGTGACGCGATAGCCACGGGTCGCATGGAATAATGAGGCCTAGGAACTAGGCAAGATTGCCTCGACGTCCAGATAACAAACGCAATCATCAACAAATTGTTAAATAAAACACTTGATCTGTTTCAAACACTTATTGTTATTTTCCTCCTTATGTCGATTTTAGGGTTGGTTATTAATCCAGGTGAATACTTAATTGAAACTTCACTTGAAAAGTGGGACCGCCACCAATAGCAAGTTCTGTTTGCTCGAGCGTGAAGAATTTTAAGAGGACAGATGACATGCCCGAGCGAAACGATTTCAATATCCCGGATCTTAGACAAGAAACACTTTCGGTTTTGAGTTCTAACCGAAGGCACCGCCAATTCTGATTAAGGCCACGGATTCTTTACGTATTCGCTCGAGAAGATCACGAGGGAAAAGATAAATACAGTAGTTGGTAAGTTAACATGTAGGTGAATTTAGTAGTATTGAGTTCAAAGTTTCATTTTGGAGTAATTTGTCGAATCCCGGAAGTGGTGAAAAATGCTGGAGCGAAAATAAAATTCGACAGCTTTTTTCGTTGCTTGGACTGATATGGTTCTCTCATAAGTTGAATAATGGTGTATGTTGTTTACATAATAAGGTTTTTGCTAACTCTGCCGACGATTTACACTGTGTTTTGGTTAACAAGGTCTTATCAATGCAAAGAATGTTTCACGTTCAAGTTGACTGATTAAGGCGAAGTTGAGGCGCTTCTGCCTTACAATTACTTGTTTCTTCGTGGACGACAAGAGCATCTATATCTGCGAAGATATTTCTTGTATGTTCTGTGAGTTTGCATACAAGGTTTCATGTATGCAACAGCCACGGCATACTATACTAAACAACCAACGTCAAATTTTTATCTTAGACGTGCATTGCATGCATGAGCAGTTATTTTGCAAAACACGTTTACTATATAATCGAAAAGGCTCCTGTTCCTCTGAGCGTAAAACCACTAATCCGCCCTACGTATACTAGACATTAAGACTGTTTCTGACGTAACTGTCCATATCTTGGTTATGCTTGTATACTACTGGGCATCAAAATAGGTCTGTTAAAGCCGTTTTATTTGGCTGCGAAACTAGTCGACGAAAAGAGTGTGGATTTTCCGAAATATCTCTAATAAAAGGGAAAAGTCGAACTTTTGTGTCCTTAACGTCACCTCACAAATAAGAGGGCAAGTATACCGAGTAGCGGGTGACGGAATCAGAGTTGTTAGCCATAATTCCAATAAAATGATGTAAGAAATCAACTACTAGATGCTAATGCAACAGGTTTTAAGTATGGGTAAAGTTGTAATTGATGTTAAAGACCTTTTGTGTCACAGGAGGGAGAGAGAACTTCGTTATCGTTATGTACTTTTTCTTTACCTGTCACTCAATTAAAACTCCAGGTTTAGGAGTTTTTGAGCCATGACTCAGTCGCCCGGAATGTCATAAACTAGAGTTTGTATATTTGTGGCGGTGGCCTTAAAATGGTCAGCCTGTCGAATGAGTTATAAGACAAAGTTCCCTGATCAACTTACAGTTGATGAACTAAATGAATTTTTTTCTTAAAAAAAATCGATAAGTCGACACTAGTTGCCAACTATATCGATGTCAGGTTAAATCCGGAAAAAAAACTTTTAACTGAAAATATTTTGTTCCCCACGGCCTTTTATACGATCTATTTTCAGAGTACTAGCCTTGATAATGGTTCAATTTGCAAAATAAGCCCAGCACTGTCGTATACAGCCAAGTTTCATTCCAAATTCTTTCAAACGTTTCTTTATTGTCTTGTCTTTGATTCATATTGCCTCCATTTTGTAGACAGCCATCTAAAGCCGTCCAGAGAGACAGCAGGCAAGAGCCACCTGAATGGCGGCGCCCTCATTGGGAAGCTCTCAGGAGCAGCGCCGATGGTTAGTGGTGGGCATTGCTCTTCACCATGTCCTCACTCCGTGCCTCAGAGATAAGATCAAAGCCGAGATGACTCCATTCTACCAGCATTTGGTGCGGCACTTTGGACTGGACAAACAGACGTACCCGAAATTCTTGAAGAACATTCCACTTTCCACGGTAAACTTAAACTACGAGAGTATCAACAACAACGACACTGCCAAACACCGTAGTCACTACGACTACTGTGTAAAAGATGAAGTGTCTTTGGCCAAGCTCTTCATGAAACCTTTCATGGCGCAGTTTAATGCATTTGATAGTTCCTTTGACTCTTCAGCAGTGCTTGGAGTTCTATGTGGAGCTTTACCATTCGCGTCGGTTCAACTGTTTGCTGAGGATGTGAGGTTGAAAGTTCGTAACGAGTGGGCCCATTGTGATTTCACAGCTTGGACGGAAGCACATTATGACACTTGTTTTGACCTCATGGAGGATCTCGTAAAAAACGTGAGAATTACTACCAGTGATCAAGCAAGAGTTTTGGATGAACTAAGATTGTGGAGAACACAAGGTAGGCTGAACAAGAAAAGTAAACTATTAATCCTCCTAGTTTTTATGTCGTAAATGACATCGCTGGTAAATACCTAGCAATGAAATGGTTATTCAGTCGTTAGGAAATTGATAACAATCAGCTGAAAGCCAAGCATATAGAGCTTTAAATTCTACCACTTTAAGTTCAGATACAAAATAAACCACTAGGCCGTCTATGGTTATCCTTGGGGACAGAATACACCTCTCATCTCAATCTTTACTAATCTTAGGCAGTAAAAAAATTGCAGGAATTATGAAAAGAAATTCCGAAAGAAAAAATCCAACTGGCCTCCGTTTTAAAACTAATTAATTATCAATCACTGAACAAGGCTTTCGTTTTGATCCGACGAATTATGGAGATCGAGGAGGGTGTTATCCACATCGGCCGATAACAACCTCTGAGATCTGCATAATCAATTCTTCAGATCATACAAAAGCCGGATCCAATAATTGTTTTTAACAGTTGCTCAAATGATTCCTAGTAAAACAAGCTAAAAGATGGTTACCTCGATCGATGATAAAGTTCCCGTCTTCATTTGCCGGTTTCTCGGCACAAGGGCAGATTTAGGGGTAAGCCCAGGGGGCCCCGCCTCACCCTGTTGTCAGATATTCCCCGTCGAGTATTGTATTCTTTCTGTTCTTGCTATGTTTTCAGTAGGCTGTTGTTCGGCTATTTCTTCTTCGCCTGTGAAATGTTCCGCCATTTTCTACTTCTCTACCAAAGCAAAATAACCTCGTCTCCTTTGGCCTCTCAGTTGCCGTTCCTTTTTCTGGCGATTACCCCGAACTACGACGTCATTTTCCGGATTTTGCAAAAGTGTTCCAAATTTGGTCAACGCTAGCTGGTTAGGAAGAATTAGCCTTGGATTTCAGCCAATCAGAAACAGAAATTTATTTTGAATGAAAAATAGAACCATCTGGGCGAAACTAGCAAATAGCAATAAACCCTACGTGAACATTGTCTTATGTAATTATATATTAAACTTAATTGTCACGTTCTATTCCGGCTCCGACTACTCGAACCCATTACATCTCAAAAACACTAATAAATATCCTTCGCCCTAATGATAAAAATGATTGGTTTCAAAGACTTAGTTTTAAAAATGGAGTTAAAATATGCGAATCGCTTTACTCCATATTTGCTCTAAAACTGGAGGTAAAATAAGTTGTATTACCATAAACGAGTCATGATAAACTCTACCACATTGGCCAATAGCTCCTATTTGGAGTATAATAACTTTTAAAAAGTGAATCAAGTGTAAGGGGTTAACTCCACCTAAGTAACTGTTAAATGTCGGTCTTTCACGTGTGTAGAACAAAGAAATAATTCTCATCAAGAGATCACAAGAGGTCCCATTTTGATATCTTGATCTCATTTCTTCTCCGAGCTAATAACTCTTTACAATACCTTTTGGGTGCCAGTCAACTAATGAGATACCGTGGAAGTTGTGATAATAAAGCTGCCTGGCCATTTACTAGGTTTCTGTGCCAAATTCTGATGGAGTTTCTAGTCAAAGGCGATAAGCATTTCTGTTTTCAGTTCTAATCTGCTATTTCAAACATCAATTAAATTTTCAAGTTGATTAAACATTTTTTCGTCATAAATGTCATTTAAAAATACCATTGTAACAGATAAACACTAGCTCTTTTAATCTGTTTGAGTTCTTTCCTTTTTTACAAAATGGTAAAACTCAAACTTTTTATTTCTAATGCCGCCTAGTTATTTTTGAAGCTAGCGGGTACTCTAATATATCCGTCTTTTTTGTTTGAATGTTTAGTTGTTGTACTTGTTCATTTTATTTTCTATACTATAATATAGGACTGGAGATATGTCTTGGTAAGCCACTCGATGACAATCTTCTGCAAGTCATTCGCAAGGAAGTTCAGCGACTTTCTGACTCTTTAGATGACTGCAAGGATAGAGAAGGTAAAAATGTCAAAAGTGTGTGTTCTACTCTAGCCTTGTTTAAGTCTGAGTTCGATCGAGCAATACAGCTTCTAAAAACACAATACTCGAAATTGGAATCATCTTATTCAGATATTAAGAACAACCAAGATGCCATCAAGGAAGAAATAAGCTCTAGAGATAAAGATCAGGGTGAACGTCTTAAGATGTTAGAATTAAACATGGAAATGAGGCAACAACAAATAGATGACCTCTATCAAGCTCTGGAAGTGAAAGGTGAAGTTATGAAAAGAGATTTAGAGGTATTGCAGGCAAGGATGAACACTCTTTCGCTTTCAGAGGGTCCCGAAGGTGTTATCTTCGACGCTCCAGAACAAAACAAATGGTTTACCGGTAGAGAAGACACGATAGAGAAGCTTGAGAGACATCTGACATTCTCGACAAGTAATGAAGGATTGAAAACGATAGCCCTTTGTGGTCTTGGCGGTTGTGGAAAAACAACTTTAGGGGCTAAGTTTGCGTGGAAACACAGGACTAAATACAAGGGAGGTGTATTTTGGATCTCTATGGAAGATGACAAAAAGTTCGAAAAATCCATGAATGACTTAGCATTGCGCCTGGGATTGTTGGCAGATACATTCGATTTGACGCTGTCAAAGGTTCTAACGTGGATTTCAAAGCGTATAAAGCCTTGGCTTTTGGTTCTTGATGATGTTGACCAACTTCATTTATCTGAACAGATGCACAAGGTTCTTTCTGGAAGATGGAAGAGGCAAGCTGAAGGCCACGTCCTGCTTACCACTAGACGTGAACCAAAGGAAGTTTGCGAGTCTATGGATGTGGAAGAAAATTGCTGCGTTCAGGTTTTTGCCTTCTCAGAAGAAGAAGCAAAAAGATTTCTTGTTACCAGGTGTGGGGCCACATTTTCTGGGAATGAGGGGAAATTAGATGAGCTGGCTCGTGAGCTTGGATGTCTGCCTCTTGCTTTAGAACAAGCTGGTGCTCATATAAAAGCTCTTCAATGTCCAATAAGTATCTATCTTGAAGAATACAAAGTCCAGCGACTAAAGTTGTTGAGTCAGCATCCCCGACCTAAGCCAACGTGGGAATACGAATCTGCCAATCGTCTGGCGGTGCACACCACATGGCTTTTAAATTTTGAATACGTCCGAAAATCAACACTTGGAGAGCCAGCATCCAATTTTGTTCAGGCGGCGGCGTTTTTGGAATCAGATGAAATTCAAGATGTGTTGATCAATCCCCCGTTGCTCACTACTGAAGAGCCACCACACCCAGATGGCAACTTTCCTGTTCACAAACAAATAGCAGAAATTCTCACAAAATTTTCACTTTTCCAAAGGAAGACCTCCAAATCTCTTTACTTACACCGTTTGGTTCAGGAGGTTATTCGAAACAGAATGACAGTGGAAGAAACCACCCTCTCTCTTAGCAGAGCAGTGAGACTTATTCATCGAGCTTTTCAAGATTGCCCTTCTCCGGATCAAATTCTAATGAATATCACAGCAAGTATCCAAGGACAACCTTCAACAGCTGTATCGGATCCCTCATTATTCTTTTTGTGGTCGAAGTTAACTTGCCATGCATCCGAGATTCAGCAGCACCTGAAGACCCTGCTGGATCAGCCTGACATCGAAAGAAACGTTAAAACAGTAGTGTTAACTCAAGAGGCTTCCCGTGTCGTATATGAAAATGCTGTGCAGTTAAGTGTCCATGGTCACAATGAGGAAGCAAAGGAGACCGAACGTTTTGCATTACAAATTTTGAATTCGTGCCCTTCAAGAAGCAGAAGTATCTTGACTGTAGACGAGTTGAAAATACTATTCCCTCACACACTGCCTCTTCCTCAACTTTTTCAAAAAATCATTTTGTACTCTTCTACTCCCCCAGTCGATGATAATGAGGATGCAGGAACTGACAGTCATTTGCTTATTAAGATTGACGAGTTTCGTCTAAGAGGAAACGCCTTCTTTAAAGATGGACGTTTTAAAGAAGCAATCAAAGCATACACGGACGCTCTCGAAGTAAGAAGGAAAGCAAAATACTGGGATCCACGGCTACTAAACAATCGTGCAACAGCCTATCTCAAACTAGGAGATTACGAAAAGTGCCTCGCAGATTCCGAGCAGTATATTGCTCTCAGACCTAACTGCTGGAAAGGATACACAAGAAAGTCATTGGCTTTACATGGACTGAACAAGGGGGGCTTCTCCATGTGTTCCGCGGCAATTGCTTATTATCATGACGCAAAAAGTTGCCGACGTTACGAAGCTTTCCAAAAGGTGTTCAAATACCTAGATGAAAAATGGGCAATTGTAGAGTCTTCTGAATCACTAAAACGCTACATACTTGAAAATAAAACCCCACATTTGAAGAAGAAAGTCCTTCTACTGACAAATAAACAATACAAAATTGATGATGGGCTTGTTTTAGAAGTGGAAGAAGTTCAAAATGTTTTGTGCAATCTCGATGGTTCTAATGACATTGAAGGAACCACTTTAGCTGCTTATTCTGAGAGATCAGAAGTTACAATCAGCTGTGGCGGACTTCGGTTATGCGAGAAGTGTTTTGTACAGAACATCTCCTTTCTAACGAATAGTTCAATTTTTGTTGCACCAGACGGAAATGTAGAGTTCACCAATTGCAGTTTTAAAAGCAGCGTTACTCGGAACTCAGCCGTTGTTGTTTACGGAAAAGCACAGCTTAATAACTGCTCAATCACCGACAGCCCCGGAGGAGGAATCACGGCAGAATATGACACCGCGTCAGTGTCATTGGTGAAATGCAGAATCAATGGGAATGGTAATAAGCCCTTGGTGACAGCGGGAATAAGAGTGATCGACGAAGGAAGTTTAAAAGTGAACGAGTGCGTAGTCTATGGAAATACCGAAGGAGTCCTTGTTTCTGGAACTAATTATAACGACAGCATAGCAAAGAATGTCCTTATACAAAATTCTCGAATTTATGATAACAAGTACGATGGGATTTGCCTTTCAGGTCATCCAACTCGTTCTTTCAACGCTGTAGTTATTCGTAAGAATAAAATTTATCATAACAGTGGATTTGGCCTTTCCGTAACATTTCAAGTCAACAACGTCACTTTTGAGGAAAATATGGTGTTTGAAAACTCCTGGTGGGGAATTTGGGTGCAGGCCAACTCAGGTGGTTGCTATAGAGGAAACGAGATCTACAACAACAAAATGGGTGGAATAAGAGTTGGCAGACAAAGTCCAGGAAAGCCACCATGTGTGTTAGAAAGAAATTATATTCACGACAACTCTGGCCCTGCTTTCCATGAAGGATTGAAGCTTTTTGAAGGGTTTTCTTTTCCAGAAAACCTTCAGGGTTTTTTCCAAATGTATGACCTGGCGATGGCAGTGGCTATGTTGAGACGCCAGAAAGACGCTTTTGAGGTTGCCGTTCCTTGCGCAGTATCACCTTTGTTCAAGTCAGACAACCGTCGCTATCAAAATGGTACTATACAAATCAACTTGCAGTCAAAGTCTTCTGGAACAAACTGTGCCTTTTGCTTTCAACGTGACAAAAAGTTGCTTTTCTGCAAAGCTTGCATGACTGCTCGTTACTGCGGAAAGGAATGTCAAAAGATGCACTGGAGCAGTCACAAGTATATCTGCCAAGCTATGAGACAGAAAAACACCGTGGAAGTTCAATTTCCAATATACAATATGAAAAAGAATGACTTTGTATCACTTATGATGGTATGGCTTACACATCCGAGTCTGGAGCCCTCGGGACCGCAATATGCATCTCCCCCTCCAAGAGATGGAACGCGCTTTGTTGTCAAAGTGCAAACGCTCGAGAGTTTGTTCTTTGGCATGATCTTTGACCCAAAGGGATACTTCAGCGAAAAATGCAACTCCCAAAATACAAAGATTCTAATCTATGATCGCAGTCGGACCGTCGATTTTGAAACAGGAAATCAACCAAAACTGTATCACTTAATAATGGAGTGTGGAGTGACTGGAGCTACTATGAGCCTTACCAAGAAAGTTTACTGTTGGGCGTCATTTAAAGACGTCAAAACACTCCAAATTTTTACTCATGAGTTTCCTACATTACAGAAGTGGTGAGGGCTACGTATATTGCGTTAATCATTTGGCTTTACCACGCTTTTGAATAACATATGACCCCCAAAGTAAACATTTAGCCAGCGGTAACAGTTTTTGCTTCCGTCTATTTTTTGTTTAAACGAAACAAAAACGACAAAATCGTTCGAAATTTACCAATTACAACTTATCGACATTTTGAACCCGCTGAAGAAAACCTGTCTTTCCTGAGAGACACGTGGGGCTGATTGACAAAAGCGAAAACGCGGTGGACTCAAGATAGACTTAAAATAGCGGCAGACTCTTAAGAATAGTTAGACTATGCTTTTTTAAGAGTTTTACAGACGATATGAGAATTAGAAACTGAAGGAGCCGATATATTGAAGCAGTATGAAAATGCAGGTGAAAGTTGTCTTCAGTTGCGCCGAAGGATGTTGTGGAATCATATGGACCTGGCTCTGTCTATGCGACTAGAACTTAAATGACCGTGACATAGCTAGATGGGAATCTTAGTTTCATTAAGTAAATTAAAGAGTTTTTATTGATAATTCCTGCCAGTGTTTATCTTCTGGCATCTAACTTGGGCTTTCCCATACCAATCCTTTAAGTTCACGGCCATTTTGCGTTTACGCTTGTCTCGCCTTTGGGAACTTTGACACTTGTTGTAAGCTAATAAAGGTTTCAAAACTGATCCTTCTGCTTTATGCTTTTGCTGAGTGGAGCAGAGTATTAGATATTGCCTTTTGAAAACAAGCACTGGCACTCTACAATTTCCTCACGTCATCAATTTTATTGTTATTCAACTTTTTTAAAAGAAAAAAAGCAAATTAATTATATTTTGTAGTTTTCAAAATGTGTAAAAATGAGTTAGCAGAAAAGGAGCCTTGTTGCTTGAGGTATGGTAAGCATGGCAACAATTTAACAAAATAGTAAGAGATTTTTTTGATAACTTACGAAGGAGATGTTCCTCAATATCCAGGTGTACTAACCTTGTTGTTTTTTTTATAATTCTTGCATCCGTTAATTTTATTTTGACTCTGCAATAATATAATTTTTTTAAATTTGGCCAACATCCTCAACAAACGAAAACCCAGAAGGTATTTGCACTCATCATATCTCAGGAGTCGGCTTGAGCCCCCAATTTTTATATAATTTCTCCACTTAGCAGTACGGAGGGGAAGTTTAACAAAAGATCTTTCTAAGAAGATCCTCGCACTAGGCATTGCCAGAAATCGTGGACATTTCGCGCCCGTGATTAATTTTCAGCGGAATCTCATTTTCAAAATGACGGACAAAAACGATAGTAGTCAGGGAAAGAGTATCCTCTGCGATTTTTTAAATAATTTGAGCTCTGTGGATCTGTTTTACAAAGAAAAACGCTGGAATAAAACACCTTGCAAGAAAATGTTAGGTTTATACTCGGCCAAGCGGCTGATAGCAACAAAACAGTACGCGGATGTACCTTTCGTGACATTTTCGTGACAATTTTGTTTTAAAACCAAGCCTGGTAGGCTAATCGAGGATTTTTGAATGCCTGGAAACTAGTTTATATCCCGTGAAGCATCTCTGGAGTTGTAGCAACAAACAAAATGGCGATTCGGTGAGGTTTGGAGTTGTGAAGCTTTGTCCGACCGAAATGTGTCATTCCCAACTATGGCGTCCATTACTGGACTACAGATGGAAAACTGAGGGAAATAATGCGCCTTTGGAAGTATTTTGCAGTGCCAAAATCGTCCTTTTTACGACTGTTTAGGAAACATCTTACATCGCAGAAGTGATATCGAATCGTGCAAATTTATTTCATTGAAGGGTTTATCCTCTGGTCGACGAGTATTTCGCATGACTTCGGGAAGATTGTAAGACAATGTATGGAGAAATGGAGCGTACAACGAGAGATAAAAGTGGCCACTTCGGGAAGTAAGTGAACCTACTTCTAATTAGCCATTTTTAACCCAGATGCGAAGGTTACACAGCACTTAACATGTTTCGAGTCGTGCACCGAAGACCCGTAAGCTCATAATCGATATATTTGAACAAGTTTCCTTATCTCCATACATTTTCTTGTACGAATTTGCAGCCATTTATTATGGCCTAAGTGCGCACGCGCAAGCGCCATCTTGTCCCTAATTTCTGGCAATGGCAAACCAGAAAAAAATGGCGGCAGGCTGTTCCGTGGGTAATCATGGCAATAAAGGCCGACAATTTCGTTTGGCGTTACCAGTTGTAAAGAATTGCTAGGTACTGCTGAAAGATAGTAATTAACGCTATTAAGGAGACCAGAGATAGGCCCAAATTTCATGTTTTTGTTATTGACGATCGCCATCTTTGATTCCTTTTCTACTTGGAAACCATATTAAAAGGACTGAGCTTTTCCGCATGTAGACCCAAGAAAAAGTTGTTCCGCCTGCTAGAATCCTCCTTCCTCCATGTGTCAATGTCCAGGAGGAGGAAAGGCTTTTCAATCCCCGGCCCGTCATTTTTCAAAGCATCAAATACAGCTTCTCTTCACACTCTCTACAGACCTCAAGTCGAGTGCTGGCAGTCTTGGTCATAGCAAAGACATCGCTGCTTTCTAGTCTCAAAGAACAAGGTCAATAAGCACTACGTCATCTGTAAATGTCAATGTAAGTTTTCGTAAATAAACGTTTCTACCCTACCTCGACCATGAACTTTCGGAGAACTTCCAGTTAAATTCTGTTGTCCCTCAAGGATCGTGCTTGGGTCCTTTACTCTTCAAGATATATGCAAGTAAATTATTTGAGGTCGCAATCTGGATGAAACCCAACTCCATTAAGTAAAGTGAACATTAATAGTCTTTGTAGTTGACACTAATATAGCCCCGGGGACATCAGAAAAAAAATATCGGGTCCTGGTTCGGTGAAAATATGATCATGGTGACTCATAAAAAATGCTGAGGATAAAAGTCGCGTCTTTCCATATGTACAACATAAGGCATATTAGAAAGTATCCTACTAGTGAGGCTACTCAGTCGCTTGTCCATGCCATTTTTTTATGGGTCGCACCAGACTACCGCAATAATTTGATCTTCAATACTCCTGCAACACACATTGCTAAGCATCAGCGCCTACAGAATTATGCGGCCCGATTAGCCTAACACCTAAATTTGACCACATAACGCCTAATATAAAGTGTTGCCGTATTTTTTGGGACTTTGTGGCGGTAGGACGTCACGTGACCTTATTGCCTAGTTTTAACACATCACTCATGTTTTGCTCAATCTACAGCTTTACGATAAACATGTACGAATGTAGACCACCCCTCAGTTTTTAACGAAAATAGCTTTTGACCCATGACTTAATTTAATTTATTATTCATTCAAAATATTTGCCCGATTCTGATTGGCTAAAAGCACACGCATAATTCACCATAACCAGTTACTGATGACCAAATTTGGAAGAATTTTGTGTTTAACGACAAAATGACGTCAAAAATGCAGCGTTCTTGCAGGTTAAGGCACCGTTAACCGAGAAGACCTGGGACGAGGCTGAGTTGTTTTGGTTATGAAAACAAAAAATGGCGGACATTTCAATCGTTTCAAGAGTAAGAACTGGGCGAAATTATAGCTAAAAACATGACAAGAACAGCAAGAACATAACTCGAAGGGCGACATCTGCTATTTGGAGAACATTTGCGGAGTGGAGAAACCCTAAACGTGCACTATCGAAGGTGAACTTAACATCAATGGAGGAAAGCATGTTTTAGCTTTGTTTTTAAACTAGGAATTATTTTGAATGAATAATAAAACAATTATTGAATTCGGCTTTCGTATCATATGAAGAATTATGGAGATCTCGGAGGGTGTTATCGATTTGACCCTCCTCGATCTCCATAATTCTTCATAAGATTCTCAGCCTCATTCATTAATTGTTAAATATCTGATACGTGCAAAAGACAAATTAATTAGAACGAGTAAATGATTTCCTTACATTGGGGTGCTGCGGGGTCATTCCTGTGGCTGTTACTGAGTGATTTCAGGATCGAGTTTCGTTTAATAACATACTCCGAACTTTCCAGGTCCTATCAAGAAGCAAATCACAACAGTTCTATACCTATTTGTAACATAACAAATTTATACGACAAATATACGACTCCAGCAAAAGGTAGAACAAAATAGATAGAACAAATTCCACACTTATGATACCATTTCCACTGCATGCAATAATTGTTACCGAGCCCTTCCCGTGTAATGACGTCACTAGAATTACGAAAACCAACCGAAAATCATAGGGCCATTCGACGATGCGACGGATGTTATTGAGCGTCGTCCATGAAATTTCTGCAATTTATANTTTGTTTTTAAACTAGGAATTATTTTGAATGAATAATAAAACAATTATTGAATTCGGCTTTCGTATCATATGAAGAATTATGGAGATCTCGGAGGGTGTTATCGATTTGACCCTCCTCGATCTCCATAATTCTTCATAAGATTCTCAGCCTCATTCATTAATTGTTAAATATCTGATACGTGCAAAAGACAAATTAATTAGAACGAGTAAATGATTTCCTTACATTGGGGTGCTGCGGGGTCATTCCTGTGGCTGTTACTGAGTGATTTCAGGATCGAGTTTCGTTTAATAACATACTCCGAACTTTCCAGGTCCTATCAAGAAGCAAATCACAACAGTTCTATACCTATTTGTAACATAACAAATTTATACGACAAATATACGACTCCAGCAAAAGGTAGAACAAAATAGATAGAACAAATTCCACACTTATGATACCATTTCCACTGCATGCAATAATTGTTACCGAGCCCTTCCCGTGTAATGACGTCACTAGAATTACGAAAACCAACCGAAAATCATAGGGCCATTCGACGATGCGACGGATGTTATTGAGCGTCGTCCATGAAATTTCTGCAATTTATAATCATTTGTTGCCAGGTGACTTGGCAACACTGAGCGTTCATTGCTGATCAGGACTCTGTGATACAGTTGAAAGTTACAAGACTAAAAATATGAGTTCTTTTGAGTCTAGAATTTATTTTTCAAATTTCA